TAAACACGGAGCTAGTAAACACTGAGCTAGTAAACACTGAGCTAGTAAACACTGAGCTAGTAAACACGGAGCTAGTAAACACTGAGCTAGTAAACACGGAGCTAGTAAACACTGAGCTAGTAAACACTGAGCTACTAAACACGGAGCTAGTAAACACGGAGCTAGTAAACACTGAGCTACTAAACACGGAGCTAGTAAACACTGAGCTACTAAACACGGAGCTACTAAACACGGAGCTACTAAACACGGAGCTACTAAACACTGAGCTGAGCTCAGTCAGACACGCTGTACAGATGTTACAGTACTGGGCCAGATGTGAAGGCCGTCTCTGTCACGCAGCTGCTCGTCTCTTCAGCACAATCAATTCACAATCAGAACGAGATCAATTTCATGTCATCAGTCTGCCAGAAAAAGAGGCTTTCTGCTGAATGTAGAACAGAGACCTGCGCTCTACCGCTTTATCACTTTATCACACGTGTCTCAGTCTGGGGGGAAAATCAGTCGGATCAATCGGATCAGTCGGATCAATTGGATCATTTGGATCAGGATCAGTCGGATCAGTCGGATCAATTGGATCATTTGGATCAGGATCAGTCGGATCATTTGGATCATTCAGATCAGTCGGATCATTTGGATCATTCAGATCAGTCAGATCATTTGGATCATTCAGATCAGTCGGATCAGTTGGAGCTGAATTCTGAAAAGAATCTAAATGACGTGAAGTTTAATTATATCAAACTCTGATCTCTCTACTTTTACAACATAAAAAGAAACAAACAGAAGGATGTAGGAATGTTTTTATTCACTCTCTACCCTTGTCAATGCCGCAAGTTCTCAAACTCTCAAACTTGTGTTTGTTTATTTATTTTAAACATTTTACTCATTTCCTCATCACACCCCCTCTACAAAAACAACTGTTAAAAATTGCACATATAATATATATAAATTGTGTAATATATTTACATTTAAAAAATCCTGAATGTTCCACTTATAGAACTCATTTTTATTAAAGATTCTATTGGATATTATTTATGGAAGGAAGGAAGGAAGGAAGGAAGGAAGGATCTTCACTGGGAAAAAATAACAAAATAAAGTTAAAGAGTGTGATCTCACATGATGTGTAATTGGATGATGCTATCAGCATGTGTAATAAACATCAGGATTAAAAACAGTGGTGTGAAACAGCAGCGAGAGTAAACAGCTGTATACAATCTGGACTGAATTATTTATAAAACACAAAACTGCACAATAGCAGGAGAAACTGACGTGACTTAACATTCAGGGGAAATGTGGGAGGAATTCCCTGTCGGATAAACACAGAGGTACAGTTGTGTTTGCTCAGGTAGAGAACGTGTGACTGCACTCTCACAGGACCAACAGACATCCTGACGCTCCAACTCAACATGGAGTCGGGTTTAATAAAGTTTTCCTGACAACTTTCCCAAAAATACAGCTGCTATTCCTCTACACACTCCTCGCTCTAATCCGAGCTTCTCACGACGTTACGCTGCAGCAGGATGCCGAGATTTCTTACAGATTCTCCGCCATGAAATCATGTTGGATTCAAATCACAGGTTTATATTAATGCACTCGTTCTAATACCTTATCGTTTCTATAGTAACAGCTCCTTCCCAGGGACTCGTATGGCGAACGCTCCACATAAACGGATTAAAAAAACATGTGGAATCATTGATATGGTGAAGTTTCCTCCAGGGTAAGGAGAAGTTTATTTAACATTTAAGATAAGATGTTGGGGAAATTCAAGTTGGCACAGCAGCACAAAAGGAGTCTCCAGTGTCAGGGCTTAGTAACAGGCAGAGCTAAAGCTGTAGCTTTCGGACATCTTCAGGACAGACGAGTTTACGCTTTCGTGGTTTCTCAGGAACATGACAAGCTGCGTTGTTTTTCCTCATTATCTTATTCATTTCAAGACAGAAACACAAGAGAGGCTGGTGAGAGAACGACTGTATAGAGCTGTTTTTTTTCACCACACATATATGGAAGACAATAATATCTTTACAATAGATTTTGGACTTTTAAAGCCCCACATAAGAGAAGGAAAGGACAGGAAAGGAAAGGAAGAGAGAAAAAATTACATAAAAGTCAGAGAAAATAGAGAAAGAGAGAAAATAGTAAAGAAATAAAAAAGAAATATTATTTGCATGTGCTCATTAACTTCATCCCTGTATATATGTGTATGATATATATATATACATTTTTTTTGCTATAATGTAAGAAAGAACAGGAACTAACCTGCTTCACAGATGTTCCACAACATTAAATGTAACTATAAATGGGTAAAAATTCAATGTGTCATTCTTCGTTTCATATAAATTGTAATCCTTTGTAAATTGCTGTGGTGTTAGAGGAATAAAACACTCAGAGCTGTGCTGTAGTAGGAAAATAATCAGCTTCAGCGTGGTAACTAACTCTGCTTCATCACACCACCCTGGCGTTGATTATTTTCCTGTAAGAGCACAGCACATGGGTTATTCCTTACACATTATAAATGTGAAGGACGTTTCAGGCTCTGTGTCGGTCAGTATGGTTAATACAGAAACGCTCTGAGGTGAACATCACTAACGAGTGCACACTAAAGCTGGGGTAATGAAACACCACCTCGGCTGCTGACTGGAATATTAAACATGAAGCATGCTGTAGATGAGTGTGTGTGTGTGTGTGTGTGTGTGAGTGTGGTGAAGCGACATACAGCAGCTGGAACTGATATGAGAAGGTCATTTCGCTGAAATGCTGAAATACAATTCACTTCACTTCAATTGCTTTTACTGTCACTGCACGAGTGTGTGACGAAATGGAGCTGTTCAGCAAAAGGAAGAGAAATTTATTCCACAAATCCACTGAGGAAATTATACCACATTTACACACGAGTGTACAATACACTACTACTACTTCTGATACTACAATTAATAATAACAATAATAATAATAATAATAATAATAATAATAATGTGTGTTACAGTACAATACTGAGTGACGAGGTGGTGTGATGAAGCGGAGTTACTGTTACCACTCCAGAGTTGATTATTTTCCTCTAAAAGCACGTCCCCAAGTGTTTTCTTCCTTTTATACCAGAACAATTTACCAATGATTATATGTTTTTTAAAGAACATCATACTTTTTATCCATTTGTATTAATATTTTTATATAGTTACATTGTTCTGACATTGTTGTTGCAGCTATAAAAGTCGTTAACGTCGTTAAAAGTTATAGTTTTACCTCTGACACTGGAGACTCCTTCCATAAATGTTAAATAAACATCCCCTTACCCTGGAGAAAACCGCCGTAACCATCCCTGTGAATGAGCTGTTACTATAGAAACGATAACGTAACGTTAATAAATATGTTATATAATGTTGTAATGTTAATGTTGTATACGTTAATATAAACCTGTGATCTGCAGCTGCACTACTTTATAGAAAATGTCTGAACAATCAGAAGGTTGACTGTTTGTACTGAGCGCTGAATGTCGTCTCTCCGGTGTTTTTAAACGGCTCTGAGTGAACAGAGCTGCACTCTCCTGACTGCCACATTTCAGCACACTAAAACAGACGTGTGCTATTTACGGCGAGTCAGAACGAGATGGCCCGCCTCCTATCCCTCCATCATCTTCATTCCAGCTAGACGAGGCAGAGAATATTCATCAGTCACCGGCTGCTGTTTCCCGTCACACCTGAAAACGAGCCGTGAACAGACAGATGGAGTGACGCTGTCACCGCACTCAGCACTGCTGCCTAAATATAAACCCTTCCACACAGTCCATTACACTCCCGTCCTCAAGTTTTCTGAGACTTTAAAGTGTAAGAGAAGATGGTTTTGTGTTTCCATCAGCTACTGTACTGCAGCAGGAGCGTCAGCTAATCACCCACACAGTCATGGCCTACATCCAAACCTGTAAAGAGTCTCTCAGAACACAGCGAACTTATTATCCACACCACCGTAGCTCTATACTCACAGGTTATTTTATCAGAAACACCCGCTATGTAGGAGTATACAGTAATTACTGACTGTAACCTGTCTGTGAATCACCCCACTGGTGTCCGATCATTCTTCATCCAGCACTCACACATCACAAACCTTCCTGCAACGTTCTAAAAACATCTCTAATAACATCTGTGAGAAAATATTAAACGGCAGCACCCAGCACACCCTACCCTGAGCTTCTATTACCGACAGACCGCTCTGTTACGGAGCTTGGAAACTGATGTAAAAGTATTTGAATGTGAATTTTACGTATTTTAAATGATATACATGTTACATAAGTGGGTCGCTGGAGGACTAGCGGTTAGGCCTCTGTGCTCTCACCCCACTGGCTCAGGTTCGACTCCCAGCCAGGGAACTAACCCCAGCCAGTGAGGTTGCATACGACAGTGCACTCCCAGTGCCGGTCCCAATCCCGGATAAAATCGGGGATTGTTTTGTCAGGAAGGGCCTCCAGCATTTAAAAAAATAATAAATAAATAAAAATAAAAACTGTGCCAAGTCAAATATGCAGACCAGTGATCCGCTGTGGTGACCCCTAACAGGAGCAGCTGAAACAACAACAACATACATGTTACATAAGCTTTTCTTTCTGTGTTGTTTTTAATACATTTACATTTTTGCTGGACTCCTTTAAAATAAAAAAAACAAAATAACAAGTCACGAGTTTGAGATTTAAAAAAAAATCAAAACACTAAACACAAAAATTTAAAAAAGTCAAATTTTAAAAATTTTATGTAAATTAGGCCGAAGCGCCTCCTTTTTGCTGGGATAAAATCTGTAATTTAGAGTTCCGATTTTTTTTTTTTAAACCATAATTTTGATTTTGAATGTGTGGGAAAAGATGAGCTTTCACACTTTCTAGTCCATTAGTTGAGTCTGAATTTTATTCTTTTGGTCTGTTTGCTATTTGGTTTGGTTTCACACTGTATATAATTAAAAAAAAACAGAAGGCAAAAAAAAAGAAAGAAAGAAAAACATTGAGCGGCTTGTAGAGCTGAAAACATCCTCGTTAAACTCCTTGGTCAGAAGGTGTGTGCTGAAATCACTCGAGCACAGAGACCACGGGGTCAGCACTAAATAAATGATTTAATAATTCTATAAATAACTAATACTGTATAAAACATTTCATGTCTTTTTATTCTTTTTCATATTTTTTCTTTTTGTTCTTTCCTCGGTCCAAATCTCCAGAACACTTGGCATTTCTGCAGCACTACAGCTCTGTCCTCTGGCTCAGTTTAGCAGCTCACACCTACAAAAAATCACGGCGTGTTTGGTTCCCTTCCTGCAGTGAGGCGATTCAGAGTCGAATCACTTTCTCACAGGGAGTTCATTAGGAATCAGACAGAGATTACCTCACTCAGATGCTCTCAGACCCGAGTGTGATTGCTGTCTTCTCACCTGAATAAAGAACTGCACCGAGCCGGAGAACACACCAGAGTCTCTTACAAACACACTAAACACTGCACATGTCCAGGCCATGCAATAACCATGCACCGTGTTACACTGATGTTAAAACTGTTTTCTCATCCTGTTGTGTGATTTTTGGAGGTAACCATGGAGATGCTGGAACCAACAATCACTCATTTTCATTATCTCCAGAAGAATAAAGGATTTCTCAATAGTGGATTAATGAATGATTCTCTTAAACCGAGGTTAATTTTAAGGAGGATGAGGAGATGCTCATATTGAGGAATGGAAGAAAAACAAGTGATGATGCTGAGACCCTTCAGAGAACATGATGAGCTCTGGAACATTCATTTTGTTCTATCAGTATCTCATCTCAGACTTATGTGAGACGAGTCAGTGATATAAGATGAGAAGACATTAAAGGAAAAAAATCCTCCCTGAATGACTCTCATATTATTTATTTTAGCATGAAACTCTGAGTTTAAACTTCTTTCATGGTCTATGTTCACTTTGGTTAACCGTTTCAACGTCATCGTCATCACCCGTCATCTCGTAGATCACTAACTAGCCGAGCCGAGTCTCTATGTCATATAGCTGCACTGCATTCTGCGATTGGAGTCCCGCTGTGACATCAGGCACAAATACTTTATACTAATAACTTTAGTGTTTAGTGGTTGGTGCTACAAAATATAGCAAGGCAAGATACTAATACATGAAGGCTTTTAATAATAAACATACTGTATATTAACAAAGGACTTATACAAGAATTAACACACATGAAATCACTAAGATGGCGAGAAGCAAGAACACACACTCAGCTAGAGACAAGATGATATACTGTAGACAACATACAGAAACCTGTGAGAGGAGGAGAAAACGAAAGCACAACAATAACAACAGCACATGGAGAACTAGGAACCAAACACGAGACGGAAGTGACACCCGTGACATCGCGCTTACAAAGTAACAGTGGCATTTAATAGGAGAAAGATGATTTCAATGATCTCCAACGTAAGTGATAACAGTCACTGTTAGCTCCTAAAAACAAAACTTCTTTTCTCCCTCACTTTTCATTTTCCAGCAAAGTTCAGCATCATATTAATGAGAAATCCAGCGTAGAAGTCGTGGAGACGTTGGAGCAAATGCTGGACTCAAAGTCCCAGAATGCATTGCAGCTATACAGACTATACAGATATAGACTCGGCTCGGCTAGTTAGTGATCTATGAGATGACGAGCGATGGAAATGACATTTACTGCATATTAATATGAAAGTTGATACTTTGAAAGCTGTTCTGTTTGAGCAGAATGTACTGTATAGACTAAAAAAGGACTAAAGCGCCGCCGCATCGCTCTCTAAGTAGAGATGAAGCAAGGGCTAAATCCAACTGCACCACTGTCAGAACGGCATTGTGGGTAATGTAGGAAACTGTTAACCAAAGTGAACCTAGACCATGAAAGTACAGAGTTTCCGAAAAGTCTCCATACAGAGGGGAAATTACACAATTTTTTTTGCAAAATGTAACTATATGACTTCCATTTCCTTGTAAACACACACGGAGTTGTTTCTCCCAGCTTTGGCTCCCTCTGTTCGGCGACAGTGTGGTGTGTGACGTGCTCGCTATGTTTCCTGTTAAAGTCCATCGCAACCTTGCGTGTGACAGCTTCCCGATCCAGCCATGAGAATAATTTCAATACCTTCTTCTTTTCTCAAAGGCATTCTTAAAGGCTATCTGAAAAATATATATATAATATAAACTAAGTATGAAAAATTTTGGAAGACATTTTGCTAAGACATGTTAATTTCCCCTCTGTATGGAAACTTTTGGGACTCGCTGTAGTTTAAAGTCAGAGTTTCATGATAAAATAAATCTTGGATGCTGTTAAAGATCTTTAGAAATATAAAGTGCAGGATATATTTACCCCATGCAGGTCCCCATTCTGCCTTCACTAAATAATAATTCAGGTATCTGCTGGGTAACTACTCCAAACGTGATGAAGACTGTCCTCGTCCAATTCTCCCAGCATCCCGCGGAGAAGCGTCTCGGCCTGTTCTAATATCTTTACACCTTGTGTGAATGAAATGCTCTTCTCATTAATTATGGGATGCAGCAAAGTCCCAGTCGAATCTGGGTTCTGCATTTCTAACATGCTGATTTATCAGAGCCGGGCCAAGAGGAGAAGGAACGAGGCCTGATTTCCCTGAACGCGACCGGAGGGGTGTGTGTGTGTGTGTGTGTGTGTGACGTACATGAGGCTGAAATTAATCACAGTGACACTCGCATTGAAATACAGCAGCTGTGCAGAAAATCTCCATCGCAACCACAAACTCCTAGCAAACATCTAATGAAGGTGCTGACCTGAAGCCACACCGATGGAAGGAGAATCTACAGGGTTCTTCGTTAATGAAGAGCCTAATTACTGGCAGCGAGCACCGTGGTTTATGCATTCTTAGAAAAAAAGGGCTCTTTAATGGTGGATAATTTAGACAACTGTGGTTCCTAAGCTTCCATAGCTTCGAAAATGTGTCTAATTCAAACCCTTTCTGGCAAAGAATCACTTTCAGACAAGCTTTAAGAGTTCCTCCAAATGGACGATCGAAGAACCCTTAAGGTTCTAGCACATAGCACATAGACCAAGGTTCTGTTCTACATAGAACCTTTAAGGGTTCCCCTAGACGTTAGGGTGCTAGATACAAGTCACTGTTAAAGCAAAAGAGCATGTAAGAAATGTATATTTCTACAAATGTTCATAAAAAGGCTTCTTTGAGGGTTGTTTGGATAATTAGCTTTGTAGAATAGTTCTACTTCAAAGTCTTGCTGATAGAAAAACACTTTGTTATTGGGATCTACATAGAACCTGCCAAAGGGTTCCTGCCAAAAGGTCATCCAAAGAACCATTAAAGGTTCTCAGTTGTCTAAGAGTGTGGTTCAAGCTCATTATTGCAGTCACTTCCGAAATAAAAAGGTAACTCACGTGTTTGTTGGGTGGTTAATGGTTCTAACGGTCTAAAGTTGTTCTACTTTAAACAATTTCTAAGAATCTGTTCTACACAGACCCTTTAAGGGTTCCTCTAGAGGATCAAACAGAAATATTCTTCAGAGCACACGATGCAGGCGAGTTTCAAATCAATCCCATATCAGAGAAAAGGGTTTTTAAGGGTACTTTGGATAATTAAGGATCTGTATCATCCTAAAATGTGTATACTCCAAGCCCTTTCTGATACGATAACACTTTGTTGTTGTAAGGTTCTATATAGAAAGAACCTTCAAGGGTTCCACCAGAACACAACCAAAGAACCATTAAGGGTTCTAAAGTGTCTAAGAGTGAGGCTCAAGTGCATTACTGTAGTCACAGCCAATAAAGGGTACATCAAGGGTTTGTGGGATGCTCAACAGTTCTATCTGTCTCAAATCTGAAATCTAAAAAAGGAAATCTGTTCTACATAGAACCTTTAAGGGTTCCCCCAGAGTGACAAACATAAATACCCTTTAAGGATTTTAGATGCAGGTGAGTTTTTGAGAAACAGTGCAAGATCTACATTTCTATATTAAAAAGGGTTCATTAAGGGTTCTTTGGATAATTAAGGTTGATGGTTCCTGTTCTACATAGAACCTTTAAGGGTTCCTGCAGAGCTACAAACCAAAATATCCTTTAGAGCGCTAGATGCAGATAAGGTTCAAGGTGTAACAGAGACATTTAAAGGTCTACAAGGGTTCATAAAGTGTCCATTAAGTGTTCTTCAGATGGTTTAAGGTTGTCATAGGGTTCTACACAGAACATTTTAAAGGTCCCACCTTGGGACACTTCACTGACATCCACTTCCCCCATGAAATAATAAAGTCAAAACAGCACACACACACATACACACACACACATACACACACACACACACAAAATTATTGTGGTGATTGGCTAAAGAAGTCATATTACTTACTCGATTCTTTCAT